ACAAAGAACAAATAATGGCTGCTTTAGCGAGCTGGTATAGTACTGTCTCCCAATCATTTATACAGTGATAACAGCAAATGATGACGGGGCGCAAGTGCAAATAACACATGACCCATTGCCACCTAATTTTATTTTATTGCATATTCCAGCTGGTGTGGTCACTGGTGCATATAATATAATAATGTTTGAACATGTAGCTAGTTAACTTGTCTTTCACTTTGGCGTCCACCTCTTGCAACTTATATAATAGAATAATAAATTCGTTTTTTTTTTTTGAGCTACCCAACTCTAATTATCTCTTTGAGACGAGTTGGTTCTCTCCGGTATCCCCACGAGCTTCGACTCTTTGAGCCGGTTATGAGACTAATCCGGAGTGCGGGGGAACAGTGATGACTAAAGGTCCAGCCCCTTCCCCAAGAATGCATTCAGCGGGAATCGAACACATATCCAACCCCACTAACTCAGCGCCAAGTTACCAACTGAGCTGCACCCATTGGGTATAAATTTGCTTTTTTTACAATTAATGTAAATAATTTATTTACATTAAATTTAAAATGACGTTATTTTTAAAAGAAAATTAAAGTATTTTTATAATTATAATTTATATTATATTTATAATAGTCTTTTTTTATTATAATTTTTTAACTCAGGATAACATTATTTTAGAAGTGAAAATAAATAATTTATCTAAAAACATTAAAACCTAACACTATTCTTTTATGTCTTCGTTGTTACCTTTACGATTCTATTACCATCAGCTGATCCACTGTGTAAAATAAACATTCCATTTTATATGAATAGGATGTGTTGGAGATCATCTTGTGTATATCTGTAGTAGGTATATTTGTCATTTAACAAGTGACACTTGGTTAAAAATAATATTTTTCTCTCCTTTTCATAAAACATGACAGTCATTTTTTATTTTTTTATTAAATAAATACACTGAGTGAATAATACAGTAGTAGTACCATAGATATTTTCTACTTGTTGTGTTATCAGTTCTCATATTACAGGAAAATATATATCGAGATAATTGAGAATCTTCTCTTCAGATGACTTTTGAGAGTCTAGACTTTAATGGCCTGGCTTGGCTTGGTGGCGATCAAGATCAAGAGTTCGGCTCAACTCAAATCAAAACCATGTGGACAGTGTATGCAACGAATAATCGGAGTTTGGTTCTTGTTAATTATTGCACCTAAACAAATAATTTAAGATGCTGGAATATGATTATTACTCTTAAACTTTGAAATCAGAATTAATATTATTAAAATAATTTAGAAATCTTTATATTTAGTAAAAATTTCGCAAGATTTCTTTATTTGACTTCATTAATGAATGCATGTCTTTTTTTATATATATTACAAAATTTAAAGAAGGGGTTTAAGTGTCTTCTGTTATAAGAAAAACTTTGGATTTCGTGCAGACACAATATAATGTGAAATCTATTATTTTAATAATATTAAAAAAGACTGTTTATAAAAAAATAATAATAATAAAAAAGACTAACACATTTTTTTATGGATCAACGTGAGAAAATTTTGTTTCCTATAACATAAAAATTACATTTCCTTTTAAAAAAGGATAAAAGTTTCACTTGTAACTTCAGATAAATACGTCTGCTGTTAACTTAAACACACCATTTTGGTCCTTTTTAAACTAAAATAAATTACTTAAATAGCCAAATCACACCGTTTTCATCCTCTTTTTTAACACACCGTCTTCGCCTTCACCCTCGTTCGCCTTCTCGTCCAATTTGCACACAAGATTGAAGCTTTTTTTTCTTCACCAGTGTCTCTTTTTCTTTATTATGTGGTTGATAAAATTTCTGTATTGAAGGGTGATTTTTGGGACCTGACAGAAGCAGAAAACAATTCATGTAGTTTTCTCCATCTGGGTATAGTTTTTTTTGGGAAAAGTTCATCAATGTTCATATGATTTATTCCAGAATCACTTATATCCTATGTTATTAGAACCGGACCGGTCATTGACCCGGTCGAGGTACCAGGTCACTGGGTTAATGGTTCAACTGGTGGGTCACTGGTTGAACTGCATGAACCGGATATATATATAAATTTATATTTTATACTTAATTATATAATAAATATTTTAAATGGTGCTATCTAAATAATAACCTGGTGTAGTTTAGTGGTATTTACTATGTTGCACAACCTCAATGGAAGGGGTTCAAACTCCATCAGATGTGATTTTTGAAATAATTCTCTTACTCAACCAGTAATGGTGTAAAAAATATTTTGGAACCAATTTTAAAAAACCGGTTCAAATAGAAAACCGGTTCAAATAGAAAACCGGTACCGGTTTACCGGTTGAACCGAAGTTTATCACCGAGTCACTGGGTCAATAGCGGGTCAACTACTTAAGCAGTCTAATGCCAATTTTTATAACACTGCTTATATCCTTGTGATTCTTTTTATCACATATACTCATGTGGTTTGCAAAAGGGTATGTTTTTTTATCACATATGTCCATGTGATTTTTTATTTTTTACAAAGCACAAAGACATATGTGATAAAAAAAACCCACAAGAACATAGATGATTCTGAAACAAACCATGGAGGCATTAGTAAACTTTTCTCTTTTTTTTTTTGTAATGGATTGGAGATACAAGATTGGATTGTTCATCGTAATAATGTGGTTATTATATGGGTCACCTCTGCTGAAGTCACCCAGATAAACTTTCACCAATTAAAGGTGTGATTTGGAAAGTTGCACGATAAATAATTTGTTTTAGTTAAAAAAATATCAAAATGGTGTGTTTAAGTTAACAGCAAATATACTTATTTAAAGTTACAACAAAAACTTTAATCCCTTAGAAAAATTGTCTTGTTTTTATTTTTTTTGGTAAATAAAATTGTCTTGTTTTAAGATTATGGGCAAAATTTTATAACTTGAATTTTTTAGGTTTTTTTTTCGATGTTATTCAAATTTATCAATACAATAATCCTCTTTAACAACATATGCATATATTAAATTTAAGTATACTCACATACAAATAATAATAGTTAATACTTAGCATATAGACTATTGTGTATAAGAAGAAGAAGTATTACAAATAAAAAATATTTCATATAATCTCAGATAAACAATTGGATATATAACTTCTATGATGTGCCGTGTTTGTTTATCTTGAAATCTATAAGAAACTTGTGAAAAAATGTTTGCAAAGACATCTTTATTGATTATTACATAGAGTAACATATGATATAATGTTATTAAATTTGAATTGGTCATCGACTTAGTTGGGGTATTAGGTCAGTGAATCACTAGTTTAATCAGTGAGTCATTGATTAAATCACATAGTCTAGATAGATATATGTAAATTTATACTCTACTAAATTTTTTTATAGGAAATGTGAGAGTTATGTAACATGAAGCAACCAAAATGTTCCTGCACTCGTAGTTTTTTATCGATAACAACACCTCTTTCTTTTCTTTTTTTTATTCGTGGGTCCCACCGAAAGTTGTTTGTACAGGAAAGTGGTTTTGGTTCCTGTTACATGATTCTAACATTTCCTTTTTTTTATATAGTAACTTCTATGTTGTCCAGTAAAATACATAATTATGTCTATCAAGAATTATTTAAAATTATGTCTGACAACAAATATAAGGATTGGTTTGCAAAATAAGGTCTTGGCATAGAAAATGATATTATCATTTTCAACCAGGCTCATCCCCAAATAGTTAGTTTACTGTATGAGAATTTACTTGTTTTTCATAACTACAGAACTTCTGCATCTTTATATTTCATTTTTTTGAGTTTAGGACCTCCTTAATCACAGAAAAAAAAGAATTATCCATAAAGTCAGTATTACAAAACAAAATTAATATCACTTTTTAAATTTCAAACAAGCTCTCCCCATTGTGTTCTATACTTTCAAATTTCAATCCAACTTAGATAGAATTTTCATTTTCATTTCAATTTCATTTTTCTTAACTTTAAATATTTAATCATATTTTATTTTTGGTGTGATTCTCATGTGTATTTGTGAATTGAAATGGATGCATTACAAGTTAGAGATTTTGCATTTGATCATTGCTTAAAAAATGATTTATATCACTTTAACATTTGTTAAAAAAATATGCATGACCCAGGTCAAGTCAGGTTTATTAATACTGCAAGGAAAATTCTTAAATATTTATGTATTGTTAATGTATACAACATTAAAAATTTAGTTAAAGTGGTTGGTCCACATGATTGAGATAAATCTCTTAACTAAATACTATACATCATATGCATTTAAATCAACTCACAAAATTTGGAATATGTTACTTGAATGTACACAACCTTTGTTGATTGTATTGTATTATTTTAATAAAATATTTGATATTTGTATCCATCTTTAAGGGATGTTTGGTAGAGTGAAATTTTTTTTTCTCGGGAATCACGATTTACAGAAATATAGTGGAAAAATGAGTTTTCCAAAAATATTATCAAAAAAATTGTTTGATTTGCCGAAATATTCTCTGGAATGTTAGGTTAATTTTTTTGATGTTATGTTAAATTTTCCCTTGTTACGGAAATTCTAAGATGATATTTTCAAAAAAATTGTACACACAAAATAAAATTAAGGGAAAAATCAGATTCTCAAATTTTTTTTAGAAATCTCATACCAAATATGAATAAATAAGATTACCACTCTTAATTTTTCAAAAATCCTAAAAAAAACCCTACTATCAAACACCTCTACGAAATTTTACATCGATTCAGCAAAAAAGGTCAATTTCTAACATGATAGGTGCATAGAACAAGTTCATGTTGGCTCAAGTGAAAGTTAAGCCGAAGCCTTTAAGCTAGAAGGCTAAGAGCTTGGAATAGTTGTCGGTGGTCTTCCCCAGTGTCTGTCGAGACTGTGAAAACACCCAAAGCCTCTTCCTTTCCTCTCACAAACACTCTCTAATATCTATCAGTGAAAATCAACAATTCAAGACTCACACGTATAAAACCAAAAAAAATCAAAGCACACTGTTACTTCTAACGAAGGCTCTAATCAAATCTATCATCCAATTTTCTCTCCCTCTCTATGAAGCGAAACCAATGGATGCATCACACACCTCTTTCGCTTCTTAGTCTCTGAAGAAGGTCCTCTCCATTCTTTCTTACCTCTTCGAAATTCTTAACAATATCTTTGTTCGGTTCTTCATTATTCATGCATTCCATCTTTTTTTTTTTTATTTTTTTATTTTTTTATTTTGTATTTCGTTGACTAACACACTGCACGCTTTCCACTTCCATTCCTCGGTAGTTGATCTGCTACCTTCATCTCCGAAGCTTCTCGAATTTTACTGAAATTGTTACACGTGATTCAATTTTACTGAGAAAAAACCGATTTCCTCGTGTGCTTGATCTTATAGTGCTTTGGTTAGGTCATTTTTTGCTTTTTAACTTGTGAAATTTGCATTTGTGATTTTGGTTCAATTATTGTCTTGAGATTCGTGATTCATTTTCTGATCTGCATTTATGTAGGCTTTGATGTTCTGAGTTCTGACTGTATCTCCAGTATAGATCTGGAGAGGGGGCAGTGCCGTGGACTGATCTGCTTGGGAGAATCTTCGAGTGACAGGAAGCTAAGATGGCGACCACACTGACTTGGAGGTTCGCTGGCAATAATGGCAGCAGCCTTGCTGCTAATGATTTGGTACTTATTGTTATTTATTATTTATTTATTTATTTTCTTCATTTTTGTCATCACGTTATTATTGTCTTACAGGATTATGAATTGGTATTGGTTAAGGTAAAAGGGTTTGAGTCACTATAAGCATGTAATTTTATGGATTTTATTCCCAGTCAGTACATATGGATATATTATTTCTAGAAATTGTTTGGTACTTTGGTTTCAAATTTCAGTTGTGGTTACGCTTTAATCACAGAAATTGCAGACAATTGATAAAAAAAGGCAGTAATTGCGGTTGGGGAGTGCAATTTAATACCATTTGGAGCCCCTGATTTGCCCTTGTCATGTACCAAACAATTGTAGAAAGTATCATTGAGAACCATGGAAGTCTATAGAGGCTCTGTGATGTGATTTCATTGTGTTTCTTATCTCCCGTTGTCCCTAGAAACATGTGTCACTGTTCTTCGAATTGAGACATGTATGGTTTTATGAATATTGTGAAATTGGTGAGAATTAATATTCTATTTTGGATAGCAAACATTATTTTGGCTAAGCACTGAACCTTCATCTGCTAGATGCTTCTGTATATACTTATCTTGGCACTAAAATAGGGTGCAGGGCAATACTCGAATATGGAAAAAAAATATGGCTTTATTAGATTATCTGTTTATATATCTAACATAGCATTCATGACTATATATGTTGATGGTTAGTTATGCTTTTTGCTCTGCACAAGAGCATAATATACATCTGTGGTTCTCTGCTAACACTACATAATGCTGTAAAGTTTTTACTTCCTTTCAAATTTCCCCTTTGTTTTGCCCAAGATGCAATCCTTAATGAAATAAAGTCAACTGTATTGGAAGCAACAGTCATATGTTTTTAATGCTTTGAATTTTTTTTCAATTTCTTTATATTGAAAGTAATCAGTTCTGATTCACCTATGTTTCCTCACAACTTAATTTTCCATTTCTCCTCCTCTTAGAGAACATATTACTTAGTTTTCCATCCCTCTCTGCCTTTATGAATCGGGGCAAGAGTAAAGAGATCACTGGATTTGTATGTAACATGCAATTAAAAATAGGAAATGGAACTTCTAAATTGATTTTATCCATATTGTACTACTTCTAATATATTGTTGCCATGTTTGTATTATTTTTTTTGCTTCCAATATATTTAATTGGTGCAGTAAATGGAAAACTATTTAGAGATATACAGACATTTTGTTTAACCTTTTACATTGTCATTCTTTGATTGCAGGAAAGAAATGGTGACGGGAAGGCTCAAGATATAGAGCCTCCAACTCCCCATTCTGTTCTGAAGATGGGATTGAGGTTGGTTACGACTTAAAACATGCCTATGCTAGAAATTATGTCAATGAGGAATATTTTACGGCCTGATATAATCATTGAATCAATTGCTTGTCATGTTGCTATAATCAATTCTTGTACTTTCTTGTGTTTGACACCTTTTGTGCTTTAGCATCAGTTCTTCTGCTTACAGCAAAGTAAGCTAACACCTCGTATTCCCTCTTGTAGTAATATAGCTTTTTATGTGTCAAAAAGTGAAAGACCAAAAAAATGTTCCCACCCCCCCAAGAATTAGAAGATAAGGTTGTGGGATGACAAGATGACCTCTATGCTCTCTAATCTAAGAACCATCGGATTTGATGTTTTGATACATATATATGGAGAATTTGAGCATAAAATATAAAATGCAAACTTCTATATCTTACATTCCTAACTGGTTGCAGAGAACGTAGCAGCAGCAGCAGCATGGAAGATCCAGATGGGACATTAGCAAGTGTTGCCCAATGCATTGAGCAGCTGCGTCAGAGCTCATCTTCTGTGCAAGAGAAAGAGTATTCCTTGAAACAGTTGTTGGAGCTTATTGATATGCGGGAAAATGCTTTCAGTGCTGTTGGATCTCACTCTCAGGCAGTTCCAGTTCTTGTTTCCCTTCTCCGGTCAGGGTCACTGAATGTGAAGATACAGGCAGCAACTGTCTTGGGCTCCCTTTGTAAAGAAAATGAGCTGAGGGTGAAAGTCTTGCTTGGAGGATGCATTCCTCCTTTGCTTGGTCTACTCAAGTCCAGTTCAGCCGAAGGTCAAGTAGCTGCTGCAAAGACTATTTTTGCTGTCTCTCAAGGTGGGGCCAAAGATCATGTTGGATCAAAAATTTTTTCAACTGAAGGAGTTGTTCCAGTGCTCTGGGAGCAGCTGCAAAAGGGCCTGAAGACTGGAAATGTAGTCGATAGTTTATTGACTGGAGCATTGAAAAATCTCTCCAGCAGTACTGAAGGATTCTGGAATGCCACAATACAAGCTGGAGGAGTGGACATATTAGTGAAGTTACTGACAGCAGGACAGTCTAGCACTTTAGCTAATGTGTGCTTTCTACTTGCCTGTATGATGATGGAGGATGCATCTGTTTGTTCAAAGGTGTTGACAGCAGAGGCAACAAAACAACTCCTCAAACTATTAGGCCCGGGTAATGATGCCCCTGTTAGAGCTGAAGCAGCCGGTGCTCTTAAATCTCTATCTGCCCAGTGCAAAGATGCAAGGAAAGAGATAGCCAACTCTAATGGCATTCCTGCTTTGATCAATGCTACCATAGCTCCTTCCAAAGAGTTCATGCAAGGTGAGTATGCTCAAGCATTACAGGAGAATGCTATGTGTGCTCTAGCAAACATCTCTGGTGGTTTGTCTTATGTCATCTCCAGCCTTGGTCAAAGCCTTGAATCATGCTCCTCACCTACTCAAACTGCTGACACATTGGGGGCTTTAGCTTCAGCTCTTATGATATATGATGACAAGGCGGAATCTACTAGAGCGTCAGATCCTTTGGTAGTTGAGCAAGCATTACTCAAACAATTTAAACCTCACTTGTCCTTCCTTGTGCAGGAACGGACTATTGAAGCCCTAGCTAGTTTGTATGGCAATCCTATACTCTCAATTAAACTTGCAAATTCTGATGAAAAGCATTTGCTTGTTGGTTTAATAACAATGGCTGCCAACGAAGTGCAAGAGGAGCTTCTAAAAGCTCTCTTAACATTGTGCAATAGTGAATGCAGTCTATGGCGTGCACTTCAAGGCCGTGAAGGAGTTCAGCTGTTGATATCTCTTCTGGGTCTTTCATCTGAACAGCAGCAAGAATGTGCTGTTGCTTTGCTTTGCCTTCTATCTAATGAAAATGATGAAAGTAAATGGGCCATTACTGCTGCTGGTGGTATACCTCCACTTGTTCAAATTTTAGAGTCAGGATCAGCAAAAGCAAAGGAAGACTCAGCAACAATTCTTAGGAACCTATGCAATCACAGTGAGGATATACGTGCTTGTGTTGAAAGTGCTGATGCTGTTCCTGCATTGTTGTGGCTATTGAAGAATGGAAGCCCAAATGGGAAGGAGATTGCGGCAAAGACCTTGAATCACCTAATTCATAAATCTGATACCGCAACTATCAGTCAGCTTACAGCATTATTAACTAGTGATCTACCTGAATCCAAGGTTTATGTTTTAGATGCTTTGAGGAGTATGCTTTCTGTTGTTGCTCTTAGTGATATTCTACGTGAAGGTAGTGCTGCCAGTGATGCAATTGATACAATGATAAAAATATTGAGCTCAACTAAGGAAGAAACTCAAGCAAAGTCTGCATCAGCTCTGGCGGGAATTTTCGAAATGAGGAAAGATGTGCGTGAAAGCAGCATTGCTGTTAAAACACTTTTGTCAGCCATGAAGTTGCTTAATGTGGAATCTGAAAGTATCTTAATGGAGTCCTCGCGTTGCCTGGCTGCAATATTTCTTTCCATCAAAGAGAACAGGGATGTAGCTGCAATTGCTAGAGATGCATTATCACCCCTAGTAGCACTAGCTAACTCTTCAGTTCTGGAAGTGGCAGAGCTGGCAACATGTGCTGTGGCAAATCTTATTTTGGACAGTGAAATTTCTGATAAAGCTGTTGCAGAAGAAGTTATATTGCCTGCTACCAGAGTATTACGTGAAGGCACAATTTCAGGAAAAACACATGCGGCAGCGGCAATTGCTCGCCTCTTACATTCTAGGCAAGTTGATTATGCTGTAACCACTTGTGTGAATCGTGCTGGTACTGTTCTTGCATTAGTTTCTTTCTTAGATTCTGCTATTAATGGACCTGTATCCATATCAGAGGCTCTAGAAGCACTTGCCATTCTGTCCAGGTCTGAAGAGACCAGTGCACATAGTAAACCTGCATGGGCAGTTTTGGCTGAATTCCCTAAAAGCATAAGCCCAATAGTCCTGTCTATTGCTGATTCAACGCCACTGTTGCAGGATAAAGCTATTGAGATATTATCTCGATTATGCAAGGATCAGCCTGTAGTTTTAGGAGACACTGTAGCTACTGCTTCTGGATGTATATCTTCAATAGCTAAGAGAATAATCAATTCCACTTCCCCAAATTTAAAGGTCAAAATTGGGGGAGCTGCAGTTCTTATTTGTGCTGCTAAAGTAAATCATCAGAGGCTGGTGGAGGATCTCAATTTATCTAACTTGTGTGCTGATCTTGTTCAGTCTCTTGTTGGTATGGTTATTTCTTCACAGGCTTCTATGGCCAATCAGGGTGATGACAACAAGGAAGTCATTAGCATTTGCAGGAATATGAAAGAGGAAGCCAATGAAGGCAAATCCAGCACTGGCACTGCCATTATATCTGGTGCCGACTTACCTATATGGTTACTGTCTGTTCTAGCTTGCCATGATGAGAAAAGTAAAATTGCAATAATGGAGGCTGGAGCAATTGAGGTTCTCACGGACAGGATCGCAAATTGTTTCTCACAATATAGTCAGGTATTCAAGTGCCTTTTTCCACTATGTTTTCATTCAATCAAATAAATAGACATTGCCAGCTGATTCTGTTCACAGTAAATATTCTCTTATTTGCATAAAAGCATCCTTAGCTGTCAAACATTGTTCCTTAAATGCCCCTACTCATTAAAGCATGTAATAGTTAGATAACAGATCATTATACAACTATTATTTTTATATATCAACCTCTGTTTACTCCTTTATGGTTAACATGCAGATTGACTATAAAGAAGATAACAGCATGTGGATTTGTGCTTTGTTGTTGGCAATATTATTTCAAGATAGAGATATCATACGAGCACATGCAACCATGAAATCGATACCAGCCCTTGCCAATTTACTGAAGTCAGAGGAATCAGCAAACAAATATTTTGCTGCACAATCAATAGCCAGCCTAGTCTGTAATGGTAGCAGGGGAACACTTTTGTCTGTGGCAAATTCTGGGGCAGCAGGTGGACTTATTTCCTTACTCGGCTGTGCTGATTCTGATATAGAGGATCTTCTGGAATTGTCGGAGGAATTTTCTTTGGTGCGTTATCCTGATCAAGTTGCTCTTGAGAGGTTGTTTAGAGTTGATGACATAAGGGTTGGTGCCACTTCTCGGAAGGCAATACCTGCCCTTGTTGATCTGCTCAAACCAATTCCTGATCGACCAGGAGCACCATTTTTATCACTTGGGCTTTTGACTCATCTTGCTAGAGATTGTCCATCGAATACGATTGTAATGGTAGAGTCTGGGGCCTTAGAGGCACTTACTAAGTATCTTTCACTTGGTCCACAAGATGCAACTGAAGAAGCTGCTACGGATCTGTTAGGAATTCTTTTTAGCAGTGCTGAGATACGGAGACATGAGTCAGCATTTGGTGCTGTTACTCAACTTGTAGCTGTCCTACGATTAGGAGGAAGAGCTGCAAGGCGTAGTGCTGCAAAAGCCTTGGAAAGTTTATTCTCTGCTGATCATATTAGAAATGCAGAAGCTGCTCGGCAAGCTGTTCAACCCTTGGTGGAGATTCTTAATACTGGTTTAGAGAGAGAGCAGCATGCTGCAATTGCTGCATTAGTTAGGTTATTGAGTGAAAATCCTTCAAAAGCACTTGCTGTTGCAGATGTTGAGATGAATGCAGTGGATGTTCTTTGCAGGATCCTTTCATCAGATTGTTCAATGGACCTCAAAGGGGATGCTGCTGAACTATGTAGTGTTCTTTTTGGAAATACAAGGATTCGGTCTACGATGGCTGCTGCACGCTGTGTTGAACCTCTGGTCTCTCTCCTTGTAACTGAGTTTAGTCCAGCTCAGCATTCAATTGTCCGGGCATTGGATAGGCTTGTTGATGATGAGCAACTGGCTGAATTAGTTGCTGCACATGGTGCGGTAATTCCTCTTGTTGGCCTACTGTATGGGGGGAACTATGTACTTCATGAGGCCATTTCTAGAGCTCTGGTCAAGTTAGGAAAAGACAGACCTGCTTGTAAAGTGGAAATGGTGAAAGCTGGAGTCATAGAAAGCATACTTGACATCCTTCATGAAGCACCTGATTATCTTTGTGCAGCTTTTGCAGAATTGTTGCGTATATTGACCAATAATGCTAGCATAGCCAAAGGACCATCAGCTGCTAAAGTGGTTGAACCCCTATTTTTGTTGCTGACAAGACAAGAGTTTGGGCCTGATGGACAACATAGTGCATTGCAGGTTTTGGTTAATATCTTAGAACATCCACAGTGTCGTGTGGATTACACATTGACTTCTCACCAAGCTATTGAGCCACTTATCCCCTTGCTTGATTCTCCAATTTCAGCAGTGCAACAGTTGGCTGCTGAGCTTCTCTCGCATCTACTTTTAGAAGAACACCTTCAGAAGGATCCAGTGACACAGCAAGTAATTGGCCCTCTTATACGAGTTCTTGGCTCTGGTATACAGATATTGCAGCAGAGAGCTGTAAAGGCCCTAGTCAGTATTGCCCTGATATGGCCAAATGAAATCGCAAAGGAGGGTGGTGTTATTGAAATTTCCAAAGTGATATTGCAAGCCGATCCTTCCATTCCTCATGCTTTATGGGAGTCTGCTGCTTCTGTTTTGTCAAGTATCCTGCAATTTAGTTCTGAATTCTACTTGGAAGTTCCTGTTGCTGTTTTGGTAAGGTTGCTTCGATCTGGCTCAGAGAGCACTGTTGTTGGTGCGTTAAATGCTCTTCTTGTATTGGAAAGTGATGATGGAACTAGTGCAGAAGCAATGGCTGAAAGTGGTGCTATAGAGGCTCTCTTGGAGCTCCTAAGATATCATCAGTGTGAGGAAACTGCTGCAAGACTTTTAGAAGTATTGCTGAACAATGTCAAGATCAGAGAAACAAAAGTTACTAAATCAGCCATCTTACCCTTATCCCAGTACCTCTTAGACCCACAAACCCAAGCACAACAAGCAAGGTTATTAGCAACTTTGGCTCTTGGTGATCTGTTCCAGAATGAGGGTCTTGCTCGGACATCTGATGCTGTTTCAGCTTGTCGTGCTTTAGTGAATGTGCTTGAAGACCAACCAACTGAAGAAATGAAAGTTGTAGCCATTTGTGCACTGCAAAACCTCGTGATGTACAGTCGATCTAATAAAAGAGCAGTTGCGGAGGCTGGTGGTGTTCAGGTTGTACTAGATCTGATTGGTTCAAGTGATCCTGAAACCTCTGTTCAGGCTGCAATGTTTATTAAACTTCTCTTTTCAAATCATACTATTCAAGAGTATGCTTCTAGTGAAACAGTCAGAGCTATAACTGGTGAGCTTTTTTACCTATTATGCTGTATTAACACTTGTTAATTTTTTTTTGGGAACAACAATTGTTTTTTTTATTGTGAACAACTGCGTACTATCTTATCCTCATTTCCCTCATATAGAATGGGTATTTGTTACTTTTCATGGCTATTTCTGTTGCAGGTTTTCTTATCCTTGCATCAATTAATTGATAAATCACAGTAGATGCATTTTTCTTACTTTTATAAGCTGAGGCATAACTTGATTTTCAAAATATTTTTCAATAAAAAAGCCAATTATGCTACATATGAAGTTAAGTAATCTTTTGAAAAATAGCAGAGCTGATTTTTTGTTGTTACTAATTGGTCATGAAACCTAAAATTTGGGATGGAACAAATAAATTGTAAAACTTGTGGCTGGTGCATTTCACTTAATTGCTTGGTAAGTTAAAACAACTTGACTCTTTATTTGTGCTATATGACGTCTTCTAGCAAAAATAGGCACCTAGTCTTCTGTTAAGTATTCATTAAAATGTTGCTGAAAAAATACAGGTTTAACTTGTAAGCCTAAGTTCTGTGGAGATAAAGTTTCTGTTTTTAATCTGAATTGATTAATGAACAATTATGATTCAGTGTTTAACACTTTAAGTTGCTTCACCATGCTAAAAGGAATGCCCTCCTCCCTCTCTCTCTCTCTCTCTCTCTCTCTCTCTTCAGTTGTAAACATCATCTAACAAAGTTTTTTTCGGTCTTTAGCTGCCATTGAAAAGGATTTATGGGCTACTGGAACTGTGAACGATGAGTATCTTAAAGCCTTAAATTCTCTATTTAGCAACTTCCCACGACTTAGAGCAACAGAACCAGCAACACTGAGCATTCCTCATCTGGTTTCGTCCTTAAAGACAGGCTCAGAGGCTACCCAGGAAGCTGCCTTGGATGCACTTTTTCTGCTCAGGCAAGCTTGGTCAGCATGCCCCGCAGAAGTTTCAAGAGCTCAGTCCATAACAGCTGCAGATGCTATTCCTTTGTTGCAGTACTTAATCCAGTCTGGCCCACCTCGGTTTCAGGAGAAGGCAGAATTTTTACTGCAGTGTTTGCCAGGGACATTGGTGGTGATCATCAAGCGTGGTAATAATATGAAGCAGTCTGTTGGAAACCCAAGTGTTTATTGTAAGCTTACACTTGGAAACACTCCTCCAAGGCAAACCAAGGTATTTTTTTTTTTAAATAATAATTTCATACTTATTTATTATCTAGTGATCTTCTCTAATGCACTAGGATTAGGTGACATGGGTGACATTTTGTTTCATGTGAGACTAATATATGATTGTCTCTTCATGTCAATTATGCACAAATTTATCGTATGAGTGCTGTTTCTTGATAATGTTATCTGCAATAAAAATTCCAATTGACTATTTACACATTCTTCGGCAGTTTTGCTACAGTTCACCCAAATTAATATTTTCTTTCCCTTTGAAATAGCTTTGACTTGAACGGTGATTTACTACATTATTGATATGGAAGTATTTGGTTGTCAAGTTCTTGTCCCTCGCCTCTTGGGCTTCTTATCTAAAGCCGCAGCCACTTCAAGTTCTATAGTTTTAAGATCTGTGGGTCAAAGATCTGCAGCCTGAATATGTGATTGTATTATATTTATATAACACAATGAACATGTGTTTTCTGCTCATCTGCTGAAAAGATATAAAACTTTTTGTTGATTTCTTTTGCACTTGGGAAAATGAATATGCTAATAATCACGAGCATGCTGATCAGGTGGTCTCAACTGGCCCTAATCCGGATTGGGATGAGAGCTTTTCATGGTCCTTTGAGAGTCCTCCAAAAGGCCAGAAGCTTCATATTTCTTGCAAAAATAAAAGCAAAATGGGAAAGGTAATGCCGGAAAATTGAACTAATAAATGCAGTGTATTCACCTTCAGTTATTTTGCTTTTACAGTTCCACTTAACCCCTCTTTTTTATCTGATGACAGAGTTCATTTGGGAAAGTGACAATCCAGATTGATCGGGTGGTAATGCTGGGAGCAGTGTCTGGAGAGTACACTCTGTTGCCGGAAAGTAAAAGTGGTCCCTCAAGGAATTTAGAAATAGAATTTCAATGGTCGAACAAGTGAATACCCGTTACTGTCTGTAGTGTCAAGCTTTGAAATTGGAACGTAGGGGTACACGTACATGGTTGAAAATTAATTTTTTATTTAAATTTTGAATTATTTATCATGCTAGTGTATATAGCAGCAGTTGTTTGTTTTTTATATGTAGTCCCAAACATTCTTTTGTCATAATATTCTTTTGTAACTTGATCCTTCATTTCCTAAGTTAAATACTAGGGTAACGAAGATCAGGCCTGCTTCGAGTTTCATATATGATTTTTTTCGTGTTTTCAATTTAATGTGGGTCTGTTTTTTGCTTTCGGGGATTGTACAACTGTTCTATACACATTTGAGATTAAATTGAATATAAAATAGGCAATAATATAAAGTGTCATATATTATCCCAAATTTTTTTTGTTATTTTAATTTTTTATATGGATTTGGTTTTGACTTGTTGTCGTTGTATTTTTTTAATTATTATTGAATTATGTGTTGCTACATAATTAAAAGTTTTACTTAATATAAAATTTTCATTGAGACAATTTAAAATTAGACGCTTCTTATATCTATCGGTAACCATATTTATACCGAATAACCCAGTAGATATGATATGTTAAGGGAGGGATTTTTTTTTTGAATCTAGTATAAGACTTAGAAGTCCTATTCATTTTAGTGGTTGATTTTTGTTCATTTAAATGTTGTAGTTTTTTTAAAATAAATAAATAATTAACTGACATAACTTAAGAAATTATAATCATTAAATAGACAGAAATCAATAAATAAAATTTCTAAATCTTACATTAGAGTGAAAAGATTTCTCCCCGATATGTTATTAACCTTTTCCGCAAGACTTCAAAAATAAAATTCACTCGCAGCCATTGATTTTCCTAACCAAGATCCCAGCATAGAAGTTAGTAATGATATGGAGTGACAATAGCCTTTGGAAGCCTGGAGGAATGAGTTGATGCTACTTTTGTTTGAAGGGGGCTATAATGCAGAGTCCTAGACGTACACACACATTTTGGTATTCCAATTTTTTTTTTTTTTTTTTGATAAATAATTTTGGTATTCCATTTAAACAAGGGAGTCCTGGATATATTTTTAAAAATTATAAATTAAGTAATACGAATTTTAGATTGAATAAATAAAGTATATAATTTATATTATTTAATATGTAATAGTTGATATAAAGTCTATAATATTAAAAAAATACAGTATTTATTTGGAAGAAATACTAATGTGGATCTCATATTTGTATATTTTTTTTTTATTTCATTATAATTAATTCTATCTCAGTTTATATATATTTACACTTTGATTGTACTATGTATTTTTAAATCCAAAGTGATGTATTTTTTGTTTCAATATTTTACACTTTTGTGTTTTTAAATTAAGGATTTGATACATTTAAAATGAGGGATTCACCTTACAAGAGAAGTGAGGAGTATCTACTGATTGACCATTCTTGTCTAATTTGATACTGAAAATCCGATATGTTCCGTTTTTTTTTTTTTGGATGAACCGATATGTTCCGTTTAAGGCATGTACAATAAACACTTTTCCTTTTGTTGAGCACAATATTTCTTTCTTTCCAAACTTCTACATTTTTGTCTTTTTAAATTAGTATTAAAGATTTGGTTCATTTAAAATAAAAGACTCAGCTTACTATGAGTAGGAGAAGTGAGGAGAATCCAATGATTTACCGGAACAGTGACTAAAGTGTCACTGTTCACTAATTTTTTTACCTAAATGCCACGTGAACAGTCTTATTTCCCAATCTGTCACCAAATTTTTTACCTAAATGTCACGTGAACAGTCTTATTTCCTAATATGTCACGGGGCAAGTTCGCTACCCGGTGTAGCGAACTCGGTTTGCTGACGTGTCACATTTCTAGTGGATAACAAGTACCAAATTAAAAAAAAAGGTTGAAGGTCGCTACATAGGGTAGCGAACTTGGTTAAAACTAAGTTCGCTACCCCGTGTAGCGAACTTGGTGTCCACTAGAAACGTGACACGTCAGCAAACTGAATTCGCTACACCGGGTAGCGAACTCGTTCCTGTGGCAGATTGAGAAATAAGACTGTTCGCGTGACATTTAGGTAAAAAAGTTGATGAACAGTGGCATTTTGGTCACTGTTCCTAATTTACCATTGAGTCTGGTTTGACGTTGCAAATATGATATGTTTAGAATCTCTTTAGATGCTTTTTTTTTTTTTTTTTTACGTTAAAAGCTACTTATGAGCTATTTAAAATATGATATGTTTGATCTAACTTTTTCTTATAAATAGCTTCTACTTAAAAGAAGAGGATCTAAACAGGCCCTTAGTTTCACGCATGTGCAATAGCAATTTTCCTTTTGTATTGAATACAATATTAAAGATTTAATTCATTTTAAGTAACAGATTCACCTTATAAGAAAAAGAGTTTCAAATGTTTCACCATTCTAATTTAATATGATACTGCAAATCTAATATGTTCCATTCTACTTATGTGCAATAAGCATTTTTTCTTTTGTATTGGATTCAATATTAAAGATTTAATTCATTTTAAGCAACTGTTTCACCATTCTAATTTAATATGCAGTCTAATATTGTTCCATTCTACTTATGTGCAATAAGCATTTTTTCTTTTGTATTGGATTCAGTATTAAAGATTTAATTCATTTTAAGTAACAGAATCACCTTATAAGAAAAGAGTATCAATTGTTTCACCATTCTTTTTTTTTTGGATTACATCCGGGTATCCTCACAGCCGATAGCCATGAGACTAATCCTTCGGCCCGGGTCAGCGCACAAAGCGGTAAAGAGCTGGCCACAGAATGTTTTCCATTCACAAGAGTTGGGGTTCAAACCCCCAACCACTTGCTTATAAGGGATGAGATGCTGAACCATTACGCCCACTCACGTGCAATAATTCAATTGCTATCATTCTAAGTTAGCAAATGTAAAATGTGTTTCACCATTCTAATTTAATATGATACTGCAAATCTGATATGTTCCATTCTACTTATGTGCAATAAGCATTTTTCCTTTTGTATTGGATTCAATATTAAAGATTTAATTCATTTTAAGTAACAGATTCACATATAAGAAAAAAGTATCAAGTGTTTCACCATCCTAATTTAATACGATACTGCAAATCTGATATGTTCCATTCTACTCATGTGCAATAAGCATTTTTCCTTTTGTATTGGATACAATATTTCTTTTCTTTTTTTCAAGTTTCTCCACTTTTTTGTTGTTGTTGGTAATCTCCACTTTTGTTTTTTAAATTAATATTAAAGATTTGATTCATTTAAAATAAGGAATTCACCTTATAGGAAAAGTGAGGAGTATAGTTGTTAAAATCTCGATTTATCACTACGATTTTATATTTTTATGATTTTTTTCATCAACACAATTTTATCAATATTCCAAACGTTTTTATGTTTTTACGATTTTTTACATTTTGATTTTACATTATGATTTTTTAATCTCCTTCTGATTTTATTTAAAATCTCAATTTTAATAACATTGGTGAGGAGGGTCGACCAATTGATCATTCTCTGAATTTTGATATTGTAAATCTGATATTTCGCACGTGCAATAAGCAATTTTCCTTTAGTATTGAGTATAACATTTCCTTTTTTTTTCTTCAAACTCTTAAACTTTTGTCTTTTTTTAAATTAATATTAAAGATTTGATTCATTTAAAATAAGGAATTCACCTTTAGAGTTGGTATCAGCTAATTGACCATTCTAGTCTAATTTGATATTACAAATCTGATATGTTCCATTCAAGGCATGTGCAATAAACACTTTTCCTTTTGTATTGAGTACAATATCTTTTTTCCCCAAAACTTATAAATTTTTGTCTTTTTAAATTAATATTAAAGATTGTTGGTGTTTCAAGGCTGTTGTTGATGTCCTATTTTTTAGGAGTTAATTAGTTGTTTTTTTTTAAATTGATTAGTCTTTTGTTTAGGAGTTTGTTTATTGCCTTTTACTGTTATTGCTTTGTTAGTTTGTTGTTGATTTTGTGGACCAACAAAATCAGCTGGTTAGTGGCAACCGTATGAGCTCAGTTTTGTATTTAAAACAAGTTCATTAGTCAGAATAAAATAAGCTGTTGCACAATATTGTTTCTGATGTTTGTTTTTCTCATAAAAGATCAACATTGGTATCAAGAGCCTTCTTGATCTTAAGGGGCTGTGAGTGACTTGAGAAATTAATGGAGGGAGGATCAAGTGGTTTTTCAGCAATGGCTCCACCAATATTCGATGGAGAAAATTATCAAGCATGGGCAGTGAGAATGCAAGCCTATCTAGAGGGTTGCGATTTTTGGGAAGCTGTAGAACAAGATTATGAAGTTGCTCCCCTTCCTGATAATCCAACCATCAATCAGATCAAGTTTCATAAGGAGAGGATAACAAGAAAAGCAAAGGCAAAGTCTTGTTTATATGCTGCTGTCTCACCTGCCATTTTCAGCAGAATTATGGCTTGTGAATCAGCTCAAGCTATATGGGACTTCCTCAAAGACGAGTATAAAGGAGATGAGAGGATTAGAAGTATGAAGGGGCTGAATCTAATCACACAATTTGAGAGATTGCAGATGAAGGAGTCTGAAACAATTAAGGAGTATTCTGATAAGTTGGTAAATATTGCAAATCAAGCAAGAGCTCTAGGCACTGACCTCTCTGATAATAGGCTAGTGCAAAAGGTTCTTGTCTCCTTGCCCGAAAGGTTTGAAGCAACCATTGCATCTTTGGAGAATACCAAGGATTTGTCTCAAATCAAGTTGGCAGAATTGCTAAGTGCTTTGCAAGCACAAGAGCAGAGAAGGTTAATGAGGCTTGAAGGAAGTACAGAAGGAGCTTTGCAGGCTAAAGAACAGCATAATGTAAGATGGAAGAAAGGAGATGAAAGTAGTGGTTCAGAAGCTGCTGCAGGAGAGAACAATGCAATCAACTCTAAGAACAATTGGGGCGGGCATTCTTCATGTAAGCATTGTGGAAAGCAGAATCACCCACACTTCAGATGTTGGAAGAGGCCAGATGTAAAGTGCAGAAAGTGTCTTAGGCTTGGACACATTGAAAGGTTCTGCAAAGAAAAGGGAGATCAGCAGCAAGGTGAGGCACATGTTGCAGACCAGTATGAGGCAGACCAATTATTTGCTGCCTCTTGTTTCTCCTCTAGTGCTCCATGTGATAGTTGGCTTGTTGATAGTGGTTGCACAAACCACATGACAAGTGATGAAAAGCTATTTAGAGACCTTGACAAGTCATTGCAGTCAAGAGTGAGAATTGGAAATGGAGAGTATCTAGAAGTGAAAGGTAAAGGGACTGTAGCAATAGAGAGCTATGCTGGAACTAAGCTGGTTTCTGGTGTGATGT